GCAGTTTGCACAAAAAGGTGTTGTCAGCGCTGCCCTGACGATTTTATCAGTTAGCCTATTTAAGTGAAAGTGACGTGACATGTGGCTAAGTATGGTGACCCATACTTGGAATTAGTGCTCTGCATTTATCCCATCCAAAGTGCACACACACAGCAGTGAACACACACACACCGTGAACACACACCGGGAGCAGTTGGGGGTTCGGTGCCTTGCTCAAGGGCACCTCAGTCGTGGTATTGAAGGTGGGAGAGAGCTGTACATTCACTCCCCCCACCTACAATCCCTGCCGGCACGAGACTCGAACCTGCAACCTTTGGGTTACGAGTCCGACTCTCTAACCATTAGGCCACGACTTCCCCAAATGTATGACACCTCAGTAACATCAGCACTTAGCATCACCCTAACCCTAACTTCGTGTTCTCACATCTACTTGGATCTAAATTTAGTGCTGGACCCAACCACGCTCTAAACCTAACCGCCATAACCCTAAGCGATTAGAAACCTAGCCGGTTCAACTCGAGTACTGCTAAATTTAAGGCTGAACTAAACCACAGCCTAAACCTACCCGTCACAGACCCAGCGATGATAAACCTAACTTTCACTCTTTAGGCCCAATGCTTAGACAGGCCCAGCTCCTAGACCGGAGATAATCTCACACGATGTGGTATAGTCTGACAAGCGTGGGCCCGTGCACCTTTCCTCAGTCTCCCTATTCCAAACCTGCCTAGACGAGTGCTGGGTTGGGGGGAGCTGTTGTACTTTTCCAAAACCTAACCCTAACCCTAACCTAACATCAGCACTGCCTGATCTATAGGATCAATGTAGAAACTCAAGACCATCGTCCCGTCTGCTGCTTCTGACACAGAAGGTGTTTGTAAGTCTGTCTTTAGACTCAAAGAATCACACAAAAACACCACAAACACATCTTATACTGTTTTAGATATACTTAATATTTAGTACACTTAAGTTTGTGTTTTACTGATTCTCTCGTTTCATCATGAATTTGCTCTGTATTTATCAGGCTGATGAAAGCTGCAGGAATCTTTGTAGGAATAAGAAAAGTAAATCTCATAAAACAGAGAACTAAGCACACTTTTTATTTATTTATTTTTTACTTTTTTTATATTTAACAGATGGTACTCTTGTTTAAAGCACAAGTGAGATCATTTCTGCCACAGCACATGAGCAGGTGTGAAGATTACCTTTATTCAAACTTCAAAGCAAGATTATGCCTAAAAAATATATAGAGCAAATAAAACACACAATATTGCAACAAAAGGTTAGTAATCTTTCAAAGATCCATCAGACGTTCCCTGTGTTGTGTGTGGCTTTGTTCTGTTTCCTCTGCTGCCGTGTTTGTTTCCTTGTATTTCCTTGTATTTATTTATTCATTCGTTGGTTGATGTCTTTGCATGTGTTAGTAAAGCTGCTGTGTCTGTGTTTGTGATTAGATGCATTAATCTTCAGAGAGAGCAGATTCTGTCTGGTGGATCAACAGAGACATCTACTGGTCACGAGCAGAGAAGGCCTACAGATCAATCTCGGCCTCTCACATCCACTGGATATCATTTCAACATCATGTCAGCAGATGCAAATCTTCATTAATTAATGGTGTTTCATTCACAGTTTACTCGTCTTTGCGCGGTGCAATAGGATGTAAAGTCTGTTTTCTTAGACGAATGCTGGTCTACAGGTACAAGGACTGTAGAGTAATAAAGTAGTGAAAATCCCTTAGTATATGACCAAATCGGATGTTGTTCTTCAAGCGGCTGCGTTGTTTTGTGGATTTCAGCTCTGAGCAGTGAACAGGAGGGTTTTGACTGGCGTGAATCGCGCTACGACGGAGGAATCGCTCATGAATATTCAGCACGTAACGGCACGTTCATCCTGTAGTCCTGAGCGATTGGCTGACAGGCAAGACATTTGTTAGCGATCGCCAGTCAGCTGACCAATCAGCAGTTTCTCCTGGAGCGAAGGCTTGGCTTATGAATATTAATTAGATGTCGTGACCGAACTCTCCAGTAGACTTACCACGCAACTGCTGCCTGACTCATTAATATGCATGAGCGAAGTGTATTCTGCACAGTACGATTGGTGCAGCGCCGGCGGAGCTCCGTCTCTGATTGGTCGCGTCCTGCGCCAATCGCTCGACAGCGTTGCATCGTAATTAGCGCGGCTGCGATGCAGGCATAGGTTGCAGGGCGATTAATTTGTCATCGGAGAGAAAGACTGTCGGATGAAATAGCGTGACATACAGATGTGTCCGTTCCGATCCGCCGGCAATAACACGACTCTCTTGCCGGGGATTTGTTCATCAGTAACTGGATTAGGTTTTGTGATTTAAGGCGCTCAGGTGCAGCGGGATAACGGTGAGTCTGCATGAATAATGTCAGTTTATATGGAGGCGATGGGCCGCGGCGATGATGGCGTATTACATGATTTACATCGCTCACAAATACATCTGCATGCTTATATCATCCATATGAACACAGCCCTTATTAATGCATCTACAGCCTTTATATCATTCTCCGCATAAATGCATCCGCATCTCTCTTGTCATCCGTGTAAATACATTAGGGCTACATCTCTTATGATGCACGTTTATAAACACACACTCATAGTAGCATAATGACGATGGAATATGTAATACTGAGGAGCTGATGTTGTCAATCAGTGTTTG